CAGGGACCAAGGCCGGAGAGGTGGGGGCCCCCGCCGCCTGTGCGGCTTTGCTCCGGGGCAAAAGAGCAAAGCCGCATGGGCAGCGGGGTCCCGCCGCCTGTGCGGCTTTGATCGGGTCTCCCTGCTGTGCTCGGGGGGACTCCCCCAGCACAGCAGGGAGACAGGAGCAAAGCCGCAGAGGCAGCAGGACCTCTGTGCCTCCACGGCTTTGCTCGGGTCTCCCTGGTCTGCTGGCGGGGGAGGGGGCTTTTGTTGTGGGATGCCTGGGGTAGAGCAGCTGGGGTAGAGCAGCTGCGGGACACCTGGGGTGCTACCGGGTTGGTCCTGCGGGGACCTACCGGGCAGTGCCCCAGCTGTTCTGTCCCAGGAGTCCAGATTCAGCTGCTGTTGAAACTGATCAGCGGCTGATTCCAGGAAGCCGGGGGCAGAGCAACTCTGCCTAGGACTTCCTGTAGACAGCTGCTGATCAGTTTCAGCAGCGGCTGAATCTGGAGCCAGTTCCGACTTACATACAAATTCAACTTAAGAACAAACCTATAGTCCCTATCTTGTATGTAACCCGGGGACTGCCTGTATCAGAAGGGTAGCCGAATCTGAATCTGCATAAACAATGAGAAGTCCTGTGGCACCTTATAGACTAACAGATTTATTGGAGCATAAGCTTTCATGGGCAAAGACCCACTTTGTCAGATGTATCTGGCAAAACATATATATGTGTGAAACTAACACACATATAAGGTTATGAGCTTTTGTGGTAAAATCTACTTCACCAGATGAGTTGGAGAGGAAATTAGAGAATCTAGGGTATGTATAACAGCAAAAACAGTTACTTGTCATTGTAGGACCAATGGTAATGAAGATAATTGTCAGGCTAGATGTGTTCCATTCATAGGGTTTGCTGTGGAGATGTGAATATCAAAAGCAGGGGAAATAGCCAGTTTCAGCTGATTGCACTGGTTCCTTATGGGATCATTATAACCTTTTCTGCTAATTTCAAAATATATGGGTCTTATTGCTTCTTGTAATTTAAAATAAATGCTTATTTATGTGTAGTACTCAGTTTTTAATTTTAAGATATCAGAATGTCCTATAAGATTAGTAGCTGTTAAAAGTTTGTGTATACCACAAACTAATACATTATGTTTAAACTTGTAATTATAATTTTTTTTAAGTTTGTGCTTAAATAAAGAAGCTATATTTTTCAGTGATCTTTTTTTCTTCTTTCTTTAAGGTGGGGAAGATGTTGAAAGCTTCCAGCTTGAGATTAGTGGTTTTTTAAAAGAAATGGCTTGTCCTTATTCAACACTTGTGTCTGGAGACATTAAAGACAGGTTAAAAAAGAAAGAGGATTGTCTTAAACTCCTGTGTAAGTTCAATAGTTTTCCCTCTTGCAATAATATTTTTTTTGTTAAACTCTTTGTCCTCTTATTTAATTGTTTGCATTTCTCATCTCTAACATCATGGAATGTAAACTACGTTTTTAGTTGCTTATCTCCCACTGTCTTCAATGTTTTGTTTCTTTTGCCTCATATTTGTCTTTACAGTTATATTTGGAAGCCCTTGATTTCTACAAGTATAACTCAATATGAATTTTGTGCGATAATAAAGAATACCCAATAGGCTTTGCAGTGAAAGTGGCATAGAAAATCCTAGTTGTTCTTTAACATCAGTGATGCATCCCATTCTGAGTGTCATAATACACTGTTTTCTGGGTGCTAATTATGACACACAAAGATTTGTTAAGAACTTTAACTTTGCATTGTTAAGTGCTCAAAAGTTAGAAAATACTCTCCTAAATTTTGCTTGTGCATCTGTATGTGAGTGCTTTAGGTGAGATTAGCAGCTAAAATCTCTGAAGATTCCCTCAGCTTTGAGCATGCTGCAGCCATTGTTTCTTTGTGTGACCAGACTTTATATGTGCCATCCCAACAGAATATTTGTCCTTGCTCCAGTGTGAGGTACAAGGGAGAAGCTGGACTTTTCCCTATAACAGTTGCTTTGGGTTAGGGTAGGGGTGGGGAACCTAAGGCCCAGGGATCGGACGCAGTTGTAAGTTTGTCTGTGTCTGGCCCCCGAGGCTTGGCATTGGGTGTCCGTGCTGGTGTTCCAGCCCACCTTCTGCTGCTCTCTTCGTGGGGCTGGTGCACACAAAATCTATTAGCCTGGGCTGTTCCCAGGCCCTGATGTATGATGAGGATGTGGTGAATGTCTCTTTCCTCGCGGAAGACCATGTCAGCAAGAGTGTGAGGTTCTTCACCCATGGGTTAGGGTATGGCTGTGGAATTGAGAGTAGGGAGTGTGTCTCGTGTGTGCATGCTGACTTCTCTGTTGGAGCAATAAGCTGCCTGACTCAAATGTAAAGGGGATAAGAGCTGGACCTGGGGTACATTGGAATAAGGAGCCTGAGGAGATGGGCTGGAGCTGTGGAGGAGAGGAGGCTGGGACTGGCTGGACAAGGAGACTGGCACTGGATATGTGTGTGGAGCGGAAGCTGGAACTGGTTGAACATAGGTCCTAGTCTAAATCCCTAACTTGTAACTTTCGTGGGTAGACCAGGTCTGAGGTTGCAAAGCCAAGTGCTCAGAAGTTAGAAAATGCTAGAATCAAGCTTGTCTGTCAACCTTAATTCATGCCATATGGATTATGATCGTCTTTAATCACATGATCACATAGGCAGTCTCAGTTTTGGTCTTGCATGACTTTTGAACCCATCTTAAAAAGTTTCAGCCTAGAGAGTTAAAGTTTGGCAAACCTTTTTATAAGCAACTGAAAACGGAGTCTTATGAAGTGTTAGGAAATCCTAATGGGTGGCCCTCCCAGTTCCATATATAAGGGCAATATTTTGAGGATTTTTATAGGAAATATAACTCTTCTGACAAATCTGAAAAACTTACAATTTGAGCCTCTCTAGTCGGGCACTCTCTGGTTCAGCAAGATCTGTAATCTGTCATGATTTTAGTTACTGGAAGCCCATTTATCAAGAGTGTGGCCAAGTTTCCCATGGTGTCATAGTATCTTTACATAAACACCAGTTCTGGCTCTGAGTGTTGAGGTGTTAGAAGACATTTAGGTATAAGTTAGAGCTAAGAGCTCAGTAAGTAGTGGAAGCAAACTATTCCGCTGAGTAGGAAAGATGGAAAAAGTATGGCAAGAGACCACCTTGGCTTAACCAGGGGATCTTACATGATCTAAAACCAAAAAGGAGTCACATAAAAAGTGAAACTGGTTCAAATTAGAAAGGATGAATATAAGCAAACAACACAAGTATGTAGGGGTAAGATTAGAAAGGCGAGGCACAAAATGAGCTCTGTCTAGCTAGAGATATAAAGAGTAATGTGAAAACATTCTACAAATATATTTGTAGAACACCAAGGACAAGATAGACCCATTGCTCAGTAAAGAGGAAAAAACAATAACCAGAAACTTGGAAGTGGCAGAGGTGCTTAACGACTTCTTCTTGGTGAAAACTGAAACCAAGATGGATGGTGACTGGATGCCTAACCTAGTCAATGCTAGTAGAAATGGGATGGGTTTAGAAGTTAAAAATTACTTAGTTACATTTAATCAGGCCCTGAAGACATCTATCCTAGAATACTCAAGAAGCTGATGGAGGAGGAGGATAGCCTTTAGTTAGGATAGCTTATGGATAGCCTATCATTTTTCAAAAAGCATGGAAGTCAGGAGAGATTGTAGAATTCTGGAAAAGGGCAAATATAGTGCCCATCTATAAAAAGGGAAATAAAAACAACCCAGGAAACTGCAGACCAATGAGTTTAACTTCTGTGCCTGGAAAGATAATGGAGTGAATAATTAGATATTCATCTGCAAACATCTAGGAGATAATAAGGTGATAGATAACAGCATGGATTTGTAAAGAATAAATCATGTCAAACCAATCTAATAGCTTTCTTTGATAGGAAGTTTTGTGGATAAGGGGGAAGTGGTGGTTTTGGTATACTGTAGACTTTAGTGAAGCATTTGATACAGTCTCACACGACCTTATCAATAAACGGAAGCGGTACAACCTAGATGGGGCTATTATGAGGTGAGTGACTGCATAAGTGGCTGGATAACCATTCTCAGAGAGTAGTTATTAATGGTTCACAGTAACTCTGGAAAGGTATAACAGATGGAATTCTGCAGGGGTCTGTTTTGGTACTGGTTCTGTTCATTATCTTGATCAGTGATTTAGATATTGGCATAGAGAGTACACTTATTACGTTTGCAGATGATACCAAGCTGGGAAGGGTTGCAAGTATGTTGAAGGATCGGGTCATAATTCAAAATGGTCTGTGGTAAATAGGTTTAAGTTTAATAAGTACAAATGCAAAGTACTCCACTTAGGAAGGAACAATCACTTTCACACATTCAAAATGGGAAGTGACTGTCTAGGAAGGAGTACTGCAGAAAGGGATGTAGTGGACCACAAGCTAAATGTGAGTGAAAAGTGTGACAATGTTGGGGGGGAAAAATGCAAACATGATTCTGGAATGCATTAACAAGAGTGTTGTGAGCAAGACGTGAGAAGTCATTCTTCTGCTCTACTCTGCACTGATTAGACCTCAATTGGAGTAATGTGTCCAATCCTGGGCCCTATATTTCAAACAAAAATTATTAAAGGTCTAGAAAACATGAGCTATGAGGGAAGGCTGAAGGAATTGGGTTTGTTTAGTTTAGAATAGAGAAGACAGAGAGGGGACCCGATGATAGCAGTTTTCAAGTACCTAAATGGGTGTTACATGGAGGAGGAAGAAACTTGACCTCTGATAATGGGACAAGAAGCAGTGGGATTCTACTGTAGCAGGGGAGGTGTGGATTGGATATTAGAAAAACTTCCTATCAGTGTGGTTGAACACTGGAATAAAGTACCGAGGGAGGTTGTGGAATCTCCATCTTTAGAGATAAGCATGTTAGATAGACATTTATCAGGGATGATGTAGTTGATGCTTGGCCCTGCTGTGAGGACAAGGGACTGCATTTGATGACCTCTCAAGGACCCTTCCAGTTTTAGTACTCTATGATCCCATAAAGTGTTGGTAAAACGGCTAGACAATATTGACCTCCTGTGGTTTGGCAAATACTCTGGTTCTGTGCCTGTCATGTCCCATGGGTGCCAGACTACAGAGGTTCAACCTTTATAAGAAAACCCCATATTAGAAACAGAATTATATTGGTGAATTTGTTGGGAAGGTAGCAAACATCTTCCCAAAAAACTGAGTAACAATTACACGTGTATAACTCTTTCTAATGTGTTTGTATAAAGTAGTAGCTCTTGGCATTTTTTATTAAATTTGCAGAATTTTGCCTATTTATTTTCTATTATGTTTTGCATGTGTGTTTTATTTACTGTTAGACTAAAAAGATACAAATATTCAAGATGTCTTAAAGATGCTATGATGACACTTTTTCTCTCTAGTATTTTTAAGTACAGAGCTTCAAGCTTTACAGATATTGCACAGCAAGCAACTTAAAAGTTCTCATTTGGAAAAGAATAATGAAATGTATCAGGAAGTACAAACTATTTGTGACTCGCTGGGCCTATCAAAGTCATCATCTTCTGATAGTCCTCTTTTGTTAAGCAATGTGGAATCAAAGGTACAGAATTTTTAACCTTAAAATATTCTTTTGCTGCATGTCTTTAATTGTTAGAACCAGCATTTTAGTGCATTAAAATCTGGTCCAACTAGGCAAAGGTATTTATTTTGAAAACTATGTTTGACCCTGTCTAAACCACATATGTGTTACACTAACCTATTTCAGTTACTATGTTAAATATGTATGCTACACTCAGGATGAGATGTACATTGTACTTTATACTTTTTAGTATTTACCTTGTCCCATAAATCTAAAGTCATGTACTACTTTTCCTGCTAAACAGTGCCAATCATTTTAAGTAGTAATGGAAAAAAATTGTTAGATGTACCTAACTACCAGTTGTTCGATAATTTATCTGAATAAGCAGTGATTCGAATACACATGCATTTGAATGTATGATCATATTAAACAACCACTTTTATGTCTTGGTTTGTAAATATTCACAAGTACTTTGTGAATGCCGTTCTGTGAAGTGTGGAATTGCCTGAAAGAGCCCAAGTAACCTATTAGCCAGTTCCCACGAAAACTTAGGGAAAACACCTTTTGAGATTATGCCCCAACAGGTTCTAACTTCTTTGATTCTAAATTGACTTCTATGCTGTAGAATATAGAATAGGCTTTAGTTTCTTATATTTTTTTAAATACATTTAAAATAATGTGTTAGAGTAATTTTTCTCCTCTATAAATCTTATCTCTAATAATAATAATAGAGATAAGATTTTATTGGGCTTCTGAAAGGCTTCTATTGGGATTGTTGCCCTGTTGTACTATGCAATGCCCATGCATCTATAGATGCATGTGATCCCTTCCCAAAAGACCTTACAATCTAATGAAATGAATACATGTGAAACTTCATCCCTTTTGGCCTAAGTTCATAATTTAATTTAGACTATTGTGAACTGGTTACTAGTTCATACCAGATGTTAAATAAACTTCTTATAAGAAAAAAGGCCAACATTTTAAAAAGTGACTTGACTTTGGGTAATGAATTTTGGGTACTCAACTTGGGGCCTGGTTTTACAGAAAGTGCTGAGTGAATCAGGGTCTTACGGTTTCTCAGGTTAGGTACCTGAAAATTAAGGCACTTAACAATCACTTGCCACTAGAACAGTGGTTCTCAAACTCTGGGTCAGGACCCCAAAATGGGACATGACCCCCTTTGAATGGAGCTGGCTGGGCTGACTTAGACTAGTCCCGTTGTCCAAGCTAAAACCCAAGGGCTTCAGCCATGTGCAGCAAGACTCAGGTTACAGAGGTTTGAAACCCCGTAAGCTTCAGCTGTGGCTCCCCTGCCTGGAGTGGTGCAGGGCTTTGGCTTCCCCATCCAGGGCACTGGGGCTTGAGTGAGCTCAGGCTTCGGTTCACTCCTCCTGGGGTCATGAAGTAGTTTTTGTTGTCAGAAGGGGGTCGCAGTGCAATGAAGTCTGCAAACCCCTGGGCTGAAGTAGAGAGAGATCCCATGTTTTCATGCTTTTCCATCTACAGTAAACTTCCGATAATCCGGCACCTTTAGGACCCAGGGGGTGCCAGATTATCCGATATGCCGGACTATCAGAAGGGGGAGCTATGAGGGGTCTGGAGTGGGGTGGGAGGGAACGCCACCCCAGATCCCTCATAGCCCCCCCCTTACCATAGTCCGGCTCTGCCCCAGGCGTCCCTGATTCAGCCGCTGCTGGTCAGTTTCAGCAACAGCTGAATCAGGGATGCCTGCAATAGAGCAGCTGGGGTGCTGCCGGGTTGGTCCTGCAGTGCCGAGGGGCAGCGCTACGGCACCAACCCAGCAGCGCTCCAGCTGCTCTTGGGGACGCCTGGGACAGAGGAGCTGGGGTGCTGCCGGGGTTGGCCTGTAGCGCTGCCCCTTGGGGCTGCGGGACCAACCCGGCAGCACCCCCGCTGTCCCCGATTCAGCCGCTGCCGGAAACGAACAGAGACCGAACCCAAG